GGGTGTCGTCTACCCCAGCGCTGATGCTTGATGGTCAAGAATTAGCTGTAGTGGAATGTTTCACCTACTTAGGTAGCGGCGTTTCAAATGACGGTAGCATATTCAATGAAGTAACCGCCCGCATTTCCAAGGCTCAAGCAGCTTACGAAGGATTGAAACACCTTTGATGTAGACGCGATGTTTCTTTGAAATTGAAAGGTCGTGTATACTGCGCCATTTCTGCTCTATGGTTGAGAGACCTTAAATTTGCGCGTGAAAGGTATTCGTCGTCTTGAAGTATTCGACTGCATTTCTTTACGTAGTTGGCTGAAGACATTAAAGGATATGGCGACTGACCGACAGCAGTGACGCTCTTGTTGTCATTTCTTAACAAGGCAGAATGCTTGAAACTTGTTATATCCATGGAGCTGGTGTTTTTATCTGATGTATACTAAGCACTCAAGTCCAAGAAATTCTTAAGAACTAAGAGATAATCATAATTTTCAGTTAAAATAAACCAGGCGAAGGGTCTTCAGCAAGATTTATTTCCCTGTCATTTTGTGGATTACGTATTGATTAGTTTATGTTATGAGCCTGGTCATGCAAAGTTAAACTCACTTCAGTGTGCCCTGATGGCGAACTGATCATCACTGCAGTGTCGTGATTCACAGTCACCGCATAGCTGTCTTCGTTAGGATTAATTTTTAAATTAGGACGTAAATGCGTGAAAACAATTTTGCGCCCAAAATTCACTTCCGTTTACTTTATTGGCCCTGAGACTTCCTCTAGCTTAGAGAAACGAACTGAGATCCCAAGTTAAGCAGTCAGTCTCCGCCTACGTAGCCCACACACATCCAACTTCGTTCATTGTGCGACTCCGGAGATAAAACTAATTCCCTGAAAGATTCGGTAATCAGAAGGGCGCCAACAAGAGTCGGTTTTTTCGATACTTTGATCAGGCCATGACAGTAAACAGTCTAACATGCGATGTAATAATCCTTAGTATGTGTTAGTACAACTGCTGTGATTGTAAGATCTTTTTCCGGAACAACCAATCACAGATGAGTCAAACTGGTGTGTCTACCGTTTGATCAAACTGCCCTTAGGCCTAGACAGCAGTACGGTTCTAGCAAGCTATTTCTAAAGACGCATCACTAACCCGTTCAATGTGTTTACGACCGCCTCGGCTAAGGACAGGATTCCATGACTCAATCCTTTTGGTCCATTATAGGCTACAGTGTACTACAATGTCCTGATGAGAATTACTGGAAAGAAACAGACGCATGTGCCACCTTCAGATTTCTATGAAAGAACTATGGATATATTCTGTGGTCTTCCAAACTCCTTCAAGTATCGCGTCATATGAACTGTGTTCCTGACACTCGATAGAACAGAATTATTGTGAAAAATGTCGTTTTGTGTTGAGGTAGTGTTTTTCGAGGATATGATACAATGCAATCTCCGAGTATCTGTCAAACATTCTCCAGTCGTAATTAGCGTTGTTTTCTATGTTTCATCTCAACTCCATTGTTTGATTGTACTCGATATCACATATATATTGTTTTAAGATAAAAAACGAATTCCGTATCCCGAGGTTTGTTGTTCTCACCTGTTGGTGATAAAAGCCACTGATAATGGACCGAAAGGAAATTAGACCCAAAACACGTGAGTATCACCCGTGATCGTGATTAGAGGTTGACCTAGAATTTTTGAGGTCATACAAGATTTAAAACCTGTCTATAGTTCACCTGATTCGATCGATTGTGGAAGATCCAGATCGAGAATCGGGGCTTTCACACACCGGATGACCACTAACCAAGACGAATCGAAGGAAGTTGATGTACCGTCAGCGGAGACATCATTATTAAACTATACGTTGAAACAACTAGTTGTGAGTAATGCCCACATGATAGCAGAATGTGAACAAGAAATGCAAAAGTTCGAAAACCAGACAGAAAAAGGTGACCACGAGGATTGCGCCGCATCGAGACCCATGAATGTGTTACTGGCGAAAATGGATATGCTAGAACTGGAACGAAGGGAACTGGAATCGGCTTCAGACGAAACTAACTTAATTCGACACGTTCTAGCTTACAGGGAGATTTTAGAATCAGCAATACTGCGAACCCAGATGCGTTATAAACGACTTCGGGAGGAAAACACTTGGCTTCAGAATGAATTGAAACACTTTGAAATTAAAAGTTCTAATGAGGCAAACCGAGCGAAACAGTTACGTGAAAAGATCGCCCATTTTGCATTTATCTATCATCAACGTCGTAGTTGGGCGGATTCGGGAATTCCCAGTGAGATGTGTGCCTTACCTAGTGAGTGTGAAGGTGGACAGGAGCCATGCGCACAAATTGGTCAAAAGTTAGCGCAAATGCGAACTCACCTGCCCAAGCTGAATCGGATTTCAGCAGACCTCACAGATTCAATGGACTCTGATTGGGAAAACGACAGTTCACAGAAATCAGAAGAACTATTGAACCAACAGATCGAGAACGAATCACCAGATAATCGAGAGAGACCATCCTCAGGTTTGGCCGAATTCGGAGATACAGTTCAGTTTGGAGAACAAACATCAAGCAGAACCGATTGGAATACATCCAATAGTGGGAAAATGACCCTATCCGAATTACGTGAATTGATGCTGGAAGATAGTTCAAAGGAGACCAAAAGACTCAGTGAACTTAGCTCCTCGTTACGTCGCCCACGTGGCACGCTGAGTCGTGATAAAAGCATCAAACAAGCGGCGGAATTTTCAGAGGACTTACAACTGAGCGATTTAGAAAAGGAAACACTGAAGCAGTGCATGAAAACACTGGATCCACAAACCCCACACAATATGCAACCCAAACTGGAACCGAATATCACACTGGATGAGGTAGTTGAACAGTTCGTTCGATCGAAGCAGCGGACACAAAATTTAGCCATATTTGTTGACCTGGTTCGCCAATTCAACCACAAGGAAATGCGTAGTCCGGGGATAGGGTTATGCTGGATGGCCATTAATGGTTTGAGACGCTACGAGAGGGAACTGCGGACTAATGAAAATCAGACAAGGCATATGTCACCGGGTCACTTAAAACGCAATCGCAAAGGTGTTTTGGGACTTTTTGAACCAGGAACATTGGAGGAAGTGGAATATCGAAATGTACTGGATGATCTTTGTCGTTTGTTGAGCATTGTGTCACACTTGTATCGATCAAGAAACGAACTATCCAAAGCAGCTGAATGTTTGAAAGATTTACTTAAAATTCGCAGATCCACACATACATGGAGACAACTGTCAGTCGCACAGGCATTGAGCAACCTGGCTTGGATTCAGTCAAGCCTGAAGGATTGCAACGCAGCCCTAACGAATGCACGCAAATCGTTGCATCTACGTCGAGATCTGATTTCAGATGAAGCGCAACCCCTTGAGCAAAGTGCAGCTGAATTGTCTGTGGCTAAACAATCGACCAGTTTGGCTCTGATGCTGATGTACAAACAACAGACGGAACAGAAAAAGTTGCGCTATCATCGATTCCCCTTTCGCGAGGTGTCTGAGATTCCCACACTCTTGAACGAGGCGATCCGAATCGGGACTTCAATTTTGGAATCAGCGGAAAGTGACGGGATGCCTTTGAATAACGATTGGGATTGCAGTCTAACGGAGCGCCAAACATCCACGGTGGGCGATTGTCGTGGTCGTGAATCCAAGTTTCACATGAATCCAGTGGAAGAATGTCTACTGATTACACGGAATGCACTGAGCGTGTATTTTGTATGTAATCGAAAATGGAATAAAGCGCAACGGCAACTGACACAAAATTTGGCCCAAATCGATCGAATCCAGCCGGATGATGGCCGTATCGA